AAAAAAAAAAAAAAAAAAAAAGAATTACAGGCAATTTCACGCTCTGCCTGGCCGAGAGGCTAACCCTTCGTTCATGATTAATGTGAGTTTGTTAGTTTTTCTTAGATACATGTCAAGTTGCACCTTACACAGAGCAGCCCCTGACGTGTAATCAGAGTGAGCGGGGCGGTGCCCAACCCCTGTGGGGCTGCCTGGCACGCCCACATGCGGCCTCTCTGAGCTCCAGCGCAGAAGGCAAGGCCTCCCCAGTTCCCACACCACTTTCACTCTGAGCCCGCACTTACTTCTGATCCACAGAGTTGCTCCTGGAGTCGACCAGAGAGGGGCATGTGGAGGATGGGGTGAGGGTGGCACTGCTGAAACTGGACACAGAGGGGTCCCGTCCCATTGGGGAGATGTCAGACAGCTGGAAGAAAAGGAACACAGCCATGAGATGCAGCCACAAACACTGCCCTGGCAACAGGAGCTCTCTGGCAGTCAGCGCCTCCCTCTACCAGCTTGCTGCAAGGTCTGGCAAGAAAACAAGACCTGGTTGCAGCCACACCTGCAACCCCAGGACTTGGGAAGCCAAGGCAGGCACTTCACCAGTTCAAGACCAGCAGAGCTGCGCAGCGAGTTCAAGGCCAGCCTCAACAATAAGGCAAGACCTCCAAAACCAAAGCTGGCTATGGTGGGCCACACCTGTAATCCCAGCACTTGGGAGGCTGAGGCAGGAGCGACACCATGAGTCTGAGGTCTGGGCTGCATAGTGGGCTCAAGGCCAGCCTGAACATAGTAAGATTATGTTTCAAGCAATCAAAAACCAAACCAAGGGGCTGGTGAGATGGCTCAGTGGTCTAAAGCACCTACTTAGAGCAGGCTTAGCAAAGCACAGGGACTGCGGTTCAATCCCCCAGCACCACATGCCAGCCAGCCCTGCCCCCTGGTGGGCTGAGCTGGCCACACACCCCCACCCCCACACTCACACCCACCCACACATACACCCACACAAATAAATAAAATTAAAAAAAAAAACAACAAACCAAAACCAAAATAAAACAAGCTAAAAGCCCACCTATAAGACAGCTGCAGACCACACAATGGCAGACAAAGAGGAGGAGGAAGAGAAGGAGGAAGAAGAAGAAGAGGAGGAGGAGGAGGAAGAGGAAGAAGAAGAAGAGGAGGAGGGTAGCCTGGGTCTGTCCAGGCACACTGAAAAGATGGTCAGGTGAAGTTCCAGGGAACCTCCGAGCCAGTGGAACCCAAAGGGCTTTGACCCACTGCTCAGCCTCATGTCAGATGAGACAGTGAAATACACGTGAGCCTAGTGACCAATACAAGCTGGTAGAGGACACCAGGTGGCAGGGCGGGACCTTGGCTGCGGTGTACTGGTGCTTACCTGCCTGCAAGACAGTGGAGGCCATCCCCAACCTGATGCCAGACTGCCACCTGCCTTTTTGTAGAGGTTGAACTTCTGTATTCTTTTTTTTTTTTTTTTTTTTTTTTTTTTTAGGGAAGGGTCTACAGGGTGTTCAGGGCCTCACTACCAGATCGACTCATAGTGATCCGCCTGTTTATAGCCTCCCAAGAGCTGGGATTATAGACACGCGCCACCACGCCCAGCCTCAACTGTCCTCTCAGCGGGCCCTGGGGGCGGAGCTGGCACAGCTGGCCAGGGGATTGAACCCCCAGCCCCTGCTGGCAGGTGCTTTAATCCACTGAGCTATTTGGCCAGCCAAACTTTTGTTCTCTTAATAAAACTGCAGTCCGCCCAAGCGCCAACATGAAGTGACTGTTGGTGAGTACGGGCAGCGCAGTGCCCTGCGAGGCTGAGGCGGGAGGCTCACAGGTTTGAGCCCAGCCTGGGCAACTTGGTAAGGCTGTGTCTTAACATGAAAAATATAAATAGGCCAGGAACATAGCTAAGGATAGAGAGTGCAAAGAGCCTGGGTTCAGTCCCAGCTCAGGGTGGGGGATATACATGTATGTGTATATATAAAGCCATTCACAGGGGCTGGCAAGATAGCTCAGTGGACTAAGTACCTACTTAGGTAAGCACTGGGACAGGGGTTCAATCCCAGCACCACAGGCTGGGTCAGCACCGCCCCACCGCTGGGAGCACTGAGCTGGCCATGGAGACTGGGCATGGTGGTATTTGCCTGTAATCCCAGCACTGAGGAGGCTGAAAACAGGAGGATCACTACAAGTCTGAGCTGCGTAGTGAGACCCTGTAACAATTTAAAAAAAAAAAAAAAGACATTTACAAAAGGGGCGCTAAGATATGTTATGCACATGTACCCTCTCCTTATGGTGTGTGCTCCACTTGGGGGCAGTCTCGGAGAGAAGACTGCAAGAGACCCAGGCAGCAGGCAGGGGACACGAAGAGCAGGGGACATGGACAGCAGGGGACATGGACAGCAGGGAACGAGAAGGAGGAAGTGCCAAGGGCCCAGGCCAGGAATGGCGCAAAGGTTGGGCTGACAGGACAGAGCTAATGACCGAGCTCCCCAAGGCGCCCTCCATCACACCCTCCCAGGGACCGGGGAGGGGCCACCCCACTGAGCTCCAGGCCTCTGAGTCTGCACTTGACTATCTGCTGACGGTCCCAGAGCAGCGTGTCACATCCTCAAACACGAGGCTGTGCCTGGCTCAGGCCACCCCAAAGCCACACAGCCTGGGGAGCAGAAGCCTGGGCTTTGGGGAGAGAGCAGGCACTGGCACACAGCCAACACCAAGGCCGGGGCGCTCACCTTGCAGTCACTGATGCTGCCGTGCACCTGGCTGAGCTCTCGGTTGAAAGTGTGGGTGAGCAGCTGCAGGCACTGGAGAAGGAAGAGGAGAGGATGCTGTGAGCGTGCTGGTGTGAGCGTGCTGGTGTAAGCGTGCTGGTGCGCAGCAACGGCCCAGGCCTGGGAGCCCAGCGGCTGTACTTGGGGCTGAGGCGGGAGGGCCGCAAGTTCCAGGCCAGCCTAGACAGTCCAGCGAGACCTTGTCCCCAAAAAGAAAAGAGCTGGGCATGCAGAGTGACGCAGAGCACTTGCTGAACGTGTGATGTCTTAAGTTCAGTCCTCAGTACCACAAAACAAGAAGAAAACAACTTAAACGGCTGAGGGGAGCCCTGTACACCAGCCAGAGGGAAGTTCTTACACCTACAACCTGCTCTGGAGCTCAGCGTCGCCCAGACAGCTCTAGAATCTGCCAAGTCTATGGCAAGGTTCTAAAAGACCTGACACCCACACATGCAGACACGGTGACTGGGGAGAGGGGCTCCTCTAGTTCCTGAGAGCTGGCTTTGAATTACCTTGGGGGGGGCACTTTGACTCAAACTCAGGACTTCATGCTTGGCCAGGCAGGTGCTGCACTGCTAGGCCATATCCCCAAGCTTTTGTTCGATGGTTTGTCCTTTTAAGACAGGGTTTCACTATGCAGTTCAGGCTGGCCTTGTACTCATTTTGTAGGCCAGCACAGGCTGGCCTCAAGCTCTTGGCCATCCTCCTGCCTCAGCCTCCTGACTGCTGAGATTACAGGTATATGCCACCATGCCTGGCTGAATAACCTTTTAAGAAAAAAGTATACTGCAAGAGAAATCTGGTGTATGTCTAGAAAATAAATAAAATAAATGGATTTAAAGTGCTATTCCCAACATTATGCATTACAGCAAATACTGTGAAATTCATATTACTTTAAGTGAAAATCTGTATCACTTCCAGTATTTTTGTTTTAATTTTAATTTATATTCTCTTTAAAAATAAATAAAAAATAAAACGTAAAAAAAATAAAAAATAAAGTGCTACTTCCCAAGAGTCACTGTAAACACAGTAATGTTTAAGAACATAATGGCACCCTCTTCATTCCACTTTACTCTGCAACAGCTGGCATGGAGACTTCTGGGTGGCCATATTTTCCTACACAAACCAGAAGACTGTCAAGTTATGGGCACCAGGACAAACACAAAAGCCCCTCACGCTCTCACCACCTTTTCAGCTGGCTGCCCTGCAGCTATCACTGTGCCCACCAGCCCCTGCCTCCTGCCTGCACACCCCACCCCTCCCCTTCATCCCTCCTAAAAGCCTTCCCTGTTGCCCACTGGATTTCACTGGATTACTGAATGAGAGTTCTCTCTTCCGCAGCCTTTGTCTTTGCCACAAACCCATCCTCTTCACTGTTGCCAGACAGATTTTTCTTTTCTTTTTAGGAGTAGGAAAATTGAGAAGAGGAATTGGAAATAGGCATAGCTCCTGATAGACGCAAGGGGTCCTGAATGAGTTGCCCCAGAGAGGTTTTTCTAAGACAGATAGTGTTTCAAGTATTTGCAGCTAACACTTTTATCATCCCAGCATTCAGGGAGGCAAGGCAGGTGGCTTGCAAGTTTGAGCTCAGTCTGGGCAACTTAGCGACTTAGTAAGACCACGTCTCACAAAACAAAAAGGTCGGGGACACAGCTCAGAGTAAAGACTGTGGGCCCTGTCCCCGAAGCCACAAAATGAAGAAAACAAAAAACCACACATCACTCCTGGAGACCACTGGAAACTCTCCAGTGCTCATCTCCTCTGCCACTTGGCCTCCTTCTGAGAGACACAGCCCCTGTGACCCTCTTGCCCCAACACTTAAGCTCAGGGTAGGCATCGGTGCATCTGCTGCTGCACTCTGCACAAGCTCAAACCAGCGGCCCCCAGGAAGGGCTGTGAGCCAACCGAGAGGCCAGCTGCAGGCCTTGGGCAGGGCCCTCCGCTAGGACGGGGCTCCCACCTTGGTGGCCAGCTCTTTCTCACGGTCCACCAGGCTCTCGATGTCTGCTGAGTCATAGCCGCTGCTCTCGCTGGGGGTGATGGCGCTCTCAAAGGTGGTGGTTGAGATCTGAGAGGAGATGCTGGTGGAGGTGCTGAGGGTCCCACTGCTGAGGCTGGGGGACAGCGAGTCACTCAGGGATTTGGGGATGCTGTCACCAAGTCTCTCTCGCAGCAGCAGGAAGTGCCGTGTTTTCTCCACCTGAAAAATAACACTACTGCCTTAAGATGCAAAATATTTCACCTGCATCATCACGGGAAACTGAAAAGCCCTGCAAAGCCTCTCAGCTTGGCCCGGGCCTGTGGAGGCCCATCGGAACCAGAGGCTTAAAGGGAACTTGCAGATAGGAGGCGGGGCCTGGCTGAAGGGGCGCGAGTGGGCGTGGCACCAGGCTCCTCCCCCAGGACCTGTGTCCGTCCCCGTTCCCCGCCCCCTTGTTAGTAGGAGGCCTCAGCTGCTCTCCCGCGCCTAGCCCTGCCCTCCTGTTCGCGCCTAGCCCTGCCCTCCTGTTCGGGCTTGGCCCGTGGGCCTGAAGCACGGACGCCGGCCCGCACCTCGTGCAGCAGCTCCAGCTTGTCCAGCTCCCACTGATGTTCCAGGATGAGGCTGTCCCCGCGGGGCCGCCAGCCAGCCAGGTTCTCTTCCCCGCGCACGTAGGCCACCGAGGTGTCCAGCACTTTCCTGCGCCGCCTCTGCATGCCTGGCACAAGAGGGCAGATCAGCTTTCCCAGGAACGACTCAATTGCAGTTTTAGTTCAACAGGAATTAGTTAAATCCTAACATATGACAGACTGTTTGTCTCAAGATCCATGAAGTGTCATTTATTAATAAAAATCCACACTTTTCTTTCAAAGCAACTCTCCAAGTTGTTTTCGTGGTACAGGCAGCAAATCCAGGGCCTGCTGTGTTAGGTGAGTGCCGGCCACTGAATGCTACCCTTAGCCCTTCAGAAGCTGTTGGCAGTCTCCCCTGGAATCTAGGCTGACCTCCTCACTAAACTGCCTGGGCCGGCCCTCCACTTGGACTCGTCCTGCCTCAGCTTCCCGAGTGCTACAACTGTGTGCCACCAGACTGAGCTGTGACTGAGGAAAACACAATGGTACTGGTCCATGCAAGCATACAGACACCAAGGGGTCTGTGCACTATGCTTCCAAATACTTAAAACTACCCCCATGAGGGGCCGGCAGATAGCTCAGTGGACTAAGTGTCTGCTTAGGCAAGCCCAGGCACAGGGGTTCGATGCCCTGCACTACCTGCAGTGCCAGCCCTGCCCCTGGATGAGCTGAGCCAGCCACTGAGACTGGGTGTTGTGGTGCACACTTGCAATGCCAGTGCTGGGGAGGCTGAAAACAGGAGGGTAACCTCATGTCTGAGCTGCATAGTAGGCCCTGTACCAAATACATTTTAAAAAATGTATATATATATATATATTTCATAGGGAGATATATAATATACCGCCTATGAGGGGCCAGCAAGATAGCTCCCTAAGAAACCAGTGGGAAGCAACTATGTGCACACATAGATTTAGTAATTCAGGGACTATAAATGACAGATGGCTTTAGTCTTCACTTCCCATTTAAAAAATATTCAGTTTTTTGAGACAGGGTGTCACTATGCAGTTCGGGCTGACCTTGAGCTCACTATGGAGCCCAGGCTGGCCTCAAAATTCAGTGATCCTTCTGCCTCAGCTTTCAGAGTGCTGGGATTACAGGTGTGTGCCACCATGCCTGGCATTTCCCATTTATTTATTTACTTATTTATTTTTATTTTTTATTTTTTGGTGGAACCAGGGATTGAACTCAGGCCCTTGTGCTTGCCAGGGAAGCGCTTATTTCACTGAGCCATCTCCCCGGCCCCTCCCATTTATTTTTTTAATGGGAGACTAAAGAAAAATTAAAAAATCAAAGAAAACAAAATGAAGAAAAACAAAAAAATACATAGGCATTATACTATTTTTACATAGTAACTATATGAATTTATCTTAATTTAGAAAATTCCTTAAGAAACTATAATGGAAAGCAGGGCAACTATACAGTGGCACACATCTACAGTCCTAGCATTCTGCAGGAATTCTGAGGCCAGTCTGGTCTACACAGTGAGACCTTGACTCTAAAATACACACACACACACACACAAAATCTGGACATTAAAATTAGCCGCTCTTGGAACTTGGATTCAAACTCAAAATCTCTATCTTACCTATGGGCCCCAACTTCTGTTTCATAAATGTTTTTTGTGTTTTGTTTTTTTTTTCCATGAATGTTATTCTCTAAAATGACTCAAACTGCTGGGTTAAGGTGTGGCCCTGGGGTAGAATGCCTGCCTAGCATGCGTCAGGGCCTGAGCTCAATCTGCAGCACCACATAACACAGTTTTTGTTTTTTTTTCAGTACTGGGGCTTGAACTTGAAACTTTCTGCTTGCCAGGCAGGTGTTCATGCCACTGGGCTATATCCCTGGCCCACAAACAAACAAATGAATACTTTTATTTTTATTTTTTGGCGGAACCAGGGATTGAACTCAGGCCCTTGCACTTGCCAGGCAAGTGCTTAGTCTACTAAGCCATCTTCCTGGCCTAAACAAATAAATAAAAATAAAATATAACATATTTGTTAATCAAACAGTTTTTTAAAAACCTTGTGCCAAGGGGCCGGGGAGATGGCTCAGTAGAATAAGCACTTACCAGCACAAGGGTCTGAGTTCAATCCCCAGTTCCACCAACCCCCCCCCCACAAAAAAAAACCTAGTGCCAATATCCTCTTGGAAACTCAAGTAGGATGTAACTGTCCTTGTGATAGATTAATGAGAGGGACTGGAAGGGGTGGGTTAGGACTTTCTGCTGTCCTCTGGGGTGAGTGAGAGAGGGATTCTGTTCTCCACACGCCTGCCAGCGTCTGACTCCACAGGCTGGTTCTGGGTTAAGAACTCAATTTTCTTGTTCTTTTCTTTTGCAGTGCTACAGGCTGAGAGCTAGGCAACCGCTCTGACTCCAGAGTGCCACCACCAGGCCAGAAATGGGACTCTTGACAGTTTCCCAGGACAGTTGCTGCAGGTACTGTTTTACTGCCACAGTGTCTTTGGGCTAAGGTGGGGAGGGAAGTGGAAAGAGCTTTTCCAGCCAAATTCATTCTCACTCACTCACACTTTTATTTTTATTTTTATTTATTTTTGGCGGAACCGGGGATTGAACTCAGGACCTTGTGCTTGCCAGGGAAGCACTTATTCCACTGAACCATCTCCCTGGCCCTCACACTTTTATTTGTTTTAAATGTAATTTTATTTTATTTTGTTTCTTAAATTAATTTTATTGATAAAAAATAGCAATGAGACAGTTTCAAAACAGGTTAGTAGGACAGTTACAATAATGAATACATTGCATATTGTTGCCTTCATAGTTATTCATAGAACAAGATGCAGACATGATATCTTGTCTAAACACTATTAGTACAAATTTTCCTTCTCATTGAACTAAGAAAAAGTAGCTGTATCTCTAATGCCTGTCATTCTGGCCTTCTAAATGCGTACTGCTTCTAATGTCATATCAATTACTGCTATACTCTCTCAAGTAAATGTTTGCTTAAAAAAAAGGTAATAGGGCCAGGAAGATAGCTCAGTAGAATAAATGCTTGTTTGGCGAGGCAAGGTCCTGAGTTCAATCCCTGGTACCACAACAAAACAAAACAAAACACAGTAATAAAAGAAAATAAGAGACTAGAAAAAAATGTCATAGGACTGTCCTGCTACGATGTTGTATATGGTTAGATTTCTAAATTTCTGTGTAAAAATGTGTAATTGTTTATTTTTAGCTTTCAGGGTTTTTTTTGGCAGAACCAGGGATTGAACTCAGGCCCTTGTGCTTGCCAGGGAAGCACTTAACCAACTGAGCCATCTCCCTGGCCCCTTTCAGGGTTTTTTTGTTTGTTGTTTTTTTTTTTTTTTGGCGGAACCGGGGATTGAACTCAAACCCTTGCGCTTGCCAGGCAAGTGCTTATTCTACTGATCCATCTCCCGGGCTGTAATTGTTTATTTTTATTTTTTTCACATTCGATAGGGATTTAAAGTTTAGCATATCGACAATTGTTGGAAAATACCTGTTCCATGTTATGTCTAAGGTATTTGATATTCAGACAGATAGTGATGCTAAGCTCAACTGCCTATGTTGCTTTATACTACTCCTTTTTTTTTTTTTTTTCTTCTTTTTTCAGTACGAGGGATTGAACTCAGGACCTTGCACTTGCCAGGTGAGCACTTATTGCACTGAGCTATCTCCCTGGACCCTTCAACTGCCTATGTTGTAAGATAATAGTATCATTAAGCTTCTCTTCTGGAGGGTTAGCAACTTAAGTTTGCAGACCAAAAAATTAGAGAAAAAGAAGGGCTACGAGGATACCCAACATTTTGGCCTTAGCCCTTCAAGGTCAGCAAGGACTTAGGACATAAGAGAACCTATACTGTAACATCCTGTAACTCAGTGGTGTCCCAAATTTTCTGTTCAAGATTATGGGGCCACAGAGGAAAGTGACTGATGATGTTGAGTGTGCCTAAGGAGAGTCACCTGGAGAGAAAACAGTCTGTCAGGCTTTCACAGAGTAAATTGGTCAAGCAATGGCTGTGACTCATCCAGATGGCTGACACTGATAAAAGATCTACAAACTGCTGTACACGGTTTCAGGGTAAATCCTGAGGGGATATGACTGAACTTGTCAGATATAAAAGTTACATTTTTTGTTATATAAGTCTTGCTTTATCTTGGTCTTAACCATCCAGCAGAAAAAAGTATAAACACAAGGTATAAAAAATAAAGCCATATTAATATGCTGAGCTGTAAAAGGCTAAAATCAATAACTTCTGACATTGCCAGTCCTGTAGATAACCCACTACTATTATGGTCTACTGGCCTATATTGGATTATTTTGCTGAATTCATGCTCCTACAATAGTTAAATGGCAATGGGATACCCAACTCTGACAAAACTAAACAAAAAAAGGGGGATACAAGGGACTGGAGAGATAGCTCAGTAGAATAAGTGCTTGCCTGACAAGCGTAAGGGCCTGAGTTCAATCTCCGGTTATGCAAAAAAAAAAAGGGGGGGTGGTTGAGGATATAAATGAAGGACCATTTTGTAGTGAAACAAACAAAATATATATATATATATATATATCACTCAAACTTTTAAATACTATTTCATAGCCCTGCAACACTGTGTTTGGTACAACTTGTATAACCACAGTATACAACATGAAATAATGCTGCAGTTTTATCACTATCAGCACAAAAGGGGCTCATCAAATACATATGATTTCCTAATAGATCTTACTTCCATCCTACCTGGGTAGACTACAGTTGGTTTTTATTTATTTATTTATTTATTTATTTATCTATGGGGGGGCAGCCCAGCCCACCAAGGGGCAGGGCTGGCCAGCATGTGGTGCTGGAGGATTGAACCGCGGTCCCTGTGCTTTGCTAAGCTTGTTCCAAGTAGGTGCTTTAGACCACTGAGCCATCTCACCAGCCCCTAGACTACAGTTTTGTAATCTACTTAAAACACATGCAAGGTAAGTGTCACCTCTAGGGTCACAAGCACTTACCTGGACTACCTGTGTCTGCTATTTTGCATAAGCTGAGTTCATAAATCCCAGTGACTCGGTTCCTATTTGAAAATAAAGTGAAATAACTGTTTAACTCTGACGGTACAAAACAGGAACATCTCAGCATTCTAGTTACAATTCTGTCTCCCCTCAGGGACTGCAACCCACTCCAAACATAAAGCCCTTTTCCTATTCAAATTTAAGGGGTAGTTCTCCAGACATGAGCTTGTTTTTCTCTTAGTCCTTCGACCACTGCTATTTGCACATGATGAGTAACAACAATAAACTATAACACAAATATGAAAACCAAAAAATTGGCTCTTCTTCCCATAAGAAAAAAGAGACGAGGGACAAACATCTGACTGGGATGAAGTGATAAACAATTTTGGGGGCTGTGAACAGGAAGGGGTGCTGAGTCTTCTACTGTATTACAGTAACAATCTCACTTTATTCTTCAAACTGGGTGGTGATGCACAGGTATTTACTCTATCTATCTATCTATCTATCTATCTATCTATCTATCTATCTATCTGTAGTGGGGCCTAAACCAGAGTCTTCACACACACTGTGTTATATCCCCAGCTTTTTTCTCTTTTTTTTTTTTTTTATTTTGAGACAAGGTTGCATCAAGTTCCTAAGTTGACCAGGCTGAGCTCAAATTTGCAACCCTCCTGCCTCAGCCTCTCAGTGTGCCACCACACCCAGCTTATTTTCATCTAATTTAAGCCCCTGTGAAAGCATTTTGGAAGTGCTCACAATGTAGTATTTTCCTTCTTTCGTTAACTCTGCCATCCATCAACATTTTATTACACACAAGCCTGCTAGTTCCTGTGCTCCAGGCATCCATTTTACAAATGATTTGTAACTGTGAACACCAAGCCGGGATTCCGCTGTATGGTATCAATGAACCAGGAGGAAGCTTGTCTCATGAACTTACGAGTCTGGTGACTTGGAGTAACCACTACCAAAGAGGCTGCGCAAAGAGCGTGGTGGTGAGATCTTGGCGTCTCGGGAATAGAAGACCATGCACACGTCCTTGGTGATGACCGCGGGCTGGATGCAGTGGTCGAGCTGAAAGCAGAAGGCAGACGAGTGGGTATGCAGCAGCTGCATGGAAGCCAGTCCTGGGGGTGGGCGGCGCTGGGCTTCGCCCAGACTGGTGGCTCCAGCAGTCAGCAGTAACCCAACAGGTAAAAAGCGCGAGGCCCCCTGAAATCCATCTGCTCTTCTCTGGAGTTAGAATTGTTATTACCCCTTTCCTACTACGTGAGGACACTGTGGCGTGGAGAGCTTATCCCAGGACGCATAAGCAGGATGGGCAGGTTCTCTCGGGTCTGGGCTGCTAAACTGCTACTGGGCTCTGGAACAACCATGAATACAAGAAGTGAACTTTTTGGCTTTTTCGTTCTTTTCTTTTTTTTGTATTATGCATTGAATGCAGGACCCTTTTTATTTTGAGACAGCGTCTCACTAAGTTGCCCAAGCTGGCCTCAAATATACCATTCTCCTGCATCAGCATCTGGAGTACTGCGCCTGTAAGTGGGGACCACAGTACCCTGCTTGTAAAATTTTCTTAAAACCATATATGCTTTTCTTTTTTAAAGAATGGTGACTAGGCTACTGAAGCCTACACGACCATAAAAAGTTACCTATTGATTAAACAGAGGCTAAAAGGAGAATCTAATATCATCCTAACAGTCAGCAAAGTATAATAAAAAAAGTGACTGAGCACTGTGGAGGAAGACAAGAGGAAAACCCAGAAGGCCCTTGGCCGGCTTCTGCAGAAGCTGCCTGCATGCTCACCTCCAGGTAGGCTGACAGGGTCATGTAGATCTTCTCTCCGTAGGGTGTCACACGGTTCAGAAGAAGGGAGTTGTGCAGGGAGCTGTCCCACACGGCCTCGAAGCGGTAGAAGGTCCTGTGAGCGGAGAGAGCAGAGAGAGTATAGAGCGGCGGGGAGCCGCCCTGCAGGATCAGCCAGCACCCCCATAGCAGGCTGACAACAGAGGGAGCCCTCCGCATGGAGGAATGGGGAGAGACGCTTAGCTGTGCTGTTTTTTTCTTTTATTGATTTATTGATTAATTGACTGTGGAACCAGAGACTGAACTCAGGCCCTTGCACTTGCCAGGAAAGTGCTTAGTTCACCGAGCCATCTCCCCGGCCCTGTTTTTTCTTTTGGACAATGCCTAAGAATATGAAATAGTGAACAACCAAGGAGATCAGGCTGAGAAGGACACGCGAGACACCAGTGACTGAGAGCAGAGGCGCAGGCTGGGCCGGGAATGCAGAGGGTGGGAAGCAAACACCCAGCCCCAGATACACTTCACACACTGACACTTGAGAGGTGTGGGGTAGGAACAGGTTGAAGAATGAAAGTGTAGAGATCCTTGTTTGGAAAAGAGAACAACGAGGGCTGGAGAGACAGCTCAGCAGTCTAAGTGCCTGCCTGGCAAGTGCAAGGACCCTGGGTTTGGATCCTCTGTACGGCATGCAAACCCCTGGCACACAGTGCCAGCTACCAAAACCAGGCATGTAATCCCAGCACTGGGGAAGCTGAGACAGGAGGCTCACTAGGAGTCCGAGTAAAACAATGATTTTTTTAAACACCACAGTCTTTTTTTTGCGGAGCCGGGGATTAAACTCAGGCCCTGGCGCTTGCCAGGCAAGCACTTATTCTACTGAGCTATCTCCCTGGCCCAAACACCACAGTCTTTCAACTACCATTTGTTAGTCTTCAAAAAAGCTATTCAAAAAATCAATTTATATTCAAGAAAGAACCAAAAGCTGACTCAGTGCACACAATAAGCTGGCTTTTTTGGTTGTCTAGCTTCATTTACCCCTCTCAAAACCCCTGGACAGGGAAGACCAGGCCGGGCCATGTCCCCACCCCTCCTGGCCAGGGCAGAAGGCAGCTCACTCGCACCACACTCGTTCCCGACTGTGGCTGCACTACCTGGGTGTTTTCTAGGTCTCCTGTGATAACCAGCAGGTTCATCTTTTCTCAGAACCCATCTCCCACCTCTTCCTCCACCAATGATGAGCAGAGAAAACAGCCCACATCCAGTCAAGAAGTAACTCCTGGGCCTGTAAGAACTATATGTGAACTGTGTCTTCACTTTGTAGCTATTTCTTATATATCTTCTTCCTGTACTTTTCCTTCCTTTTCTGTATTTAGGACAGGGTCTGCAGGGTCTATAGGGTCTCACTACATAGATCTGACTACTCAGTGATTCTCCTGTTTTTAGCCTCTGTCCCACCATTCCCAGTCTCAATCACCATCTCTGCACAGCCCGCAGGCGGGGCCAGCATGGCACTCCAGATGGCACTCTGGCCGCTGCACTCTGCCTAAGTCGTTAAGCTATCAGGCCAGCCCTTTGAATTTTTCTTGACCTCCTAGTTTTTCAGGCAGCGAGTGAGGGTCAAGAGAATTCTCTTCAGAGGTACTGAAGGAACACAGACAACAGGACAAAGGCTTGGTCACCCGGTGACTCTCACAGCAACAGAAATGATGACAATGGGAGCCTCCAGGGCTAAAAAACCCAAAAAAACAAAAAACACCTTCACACAGCCTCAAAGTCCTACCTAGATCATATCTTTGTTTTGAAACTTTTATTTTTATTTTTTTTTATTTTTATTTATGAGAGAGAGTGAGAGAGAGAGAGAGTGTGGTGTGTGTGTGTGTGGCCAGCTCAGCCCACCAGGGGGCGGGGCTGGCTGGCATGTGGTGCTGGGGGATTGAACCGCGGTCCCTGATGCCTTGCCAAGCTTGTTCTAAGTAGGTGCTTTAGACCACTGAGCCATCTCGCCAGCCCCTGTTTTGAAACTTTTTATGAGACACCCTCTCACTGTGTAGGTCAGGCTGGCCTTGAACTAGTGAGCAATCTTACTGCCTCAGCCTCCTGAGTACCACATCCAACAAATTTGAGTTTTAATTTGAAACAAAAATCTGATAGTGGGTAGTGCTATCTACTACTTCAACAGAAACCACCTAAGGCTATTCCTGAGAACTGTTGGAGTGAAAGGTGAAAAAAGCCCCAGTGCTAGCTGGTTTTGTGACTGGTGACAGCTGACAGAAATCCCCTCACTGCTGTCCGTCCTAGTGAGGTATTCATGTGGTTCCAGGCCCAGAGTGAGCACCTCAGGGGTCCCTCCTGAGCCTGCATGACTTCTCTGTCTCTTGCTTTTTTCCAGATAGGGTATCTGTCTACTTTAGGCTGGCCTTGAACTCACCATATAGGCCAGGCTGGCCTCGAAGTTCCCTAGTGCTCCGGGCTTAGCCTCCCAGCCACTGGGGTACAGGTGTGCACCACCATGCCTAGCCCTTCCTGACTCTTGACTCTTCCAACTGAGGCAATGGCTTGGACCTGTGTGGGGAAGTCCTGCACATTTCTGCCTTCAGGTTCAGTTTTTACTCAGTCTAACATTAAAGTTTTACTGGCAAAAACACAGGAGTAAATTTTAACTCTGCTAACATCTTTTTGTATATATAAAAAGTTTCTTTTTATTTTGTTTTGGAGCTGCTGCAACTCTCTCTGCTGGAATATCCTCACAATCGCAGAGGTGGTTTTGGAGAGGAGCTTATAAAAAACACCTGTGACTGGCAGAACATCGCTGAGAGCGGAGTTGGAAACGGGGCTGAGTCCCAACACATGCTCTCCTCCCGGGGTAGCCAGAAAGAGCCGCCCCCACGTCCACCCCAACCAACAGCATCCCTGAGGAAAAAGAGTCAGGGCACTAGATACACTGCAGGCTCACTCGATGATATTAATTGTGAACAAATGAAGAAGAAACTGCTTATGTTAGGGTCATATCAATGGGCCTCTTTATTTTTTTTCTGTGGCCCTCAGGATTAGGTTTACAGGGGCCAAAGGAGCATGCCACCACCAGCTGTCCCCTGCCCCACAGCGCCCTCTTGTGTCCACTGGAGAATCGGTGACATGTGAACCAGAGGAGATTGAGACTGAGCTACCAAAATCCTGAGACATCAGCCAAGGAACAGCCCAGGCTAGACTGTTACATATTTCCCTGAGTTCGCTTCCTGTGAGTCAAACAGAAAGATGGGAAAGGGGGCCGGGGAGATAGCTCAGTAGAATAAGCGTTTCACTGCCAAGCGCAAGGGCCTGAGTTCAATCCCTGGTTCCGAAAAAAAAAAAAAAAAAAAAAGATGAGAAAAAAATATTCTTCACAACTAAGCCAGGACTGCTTCTCTTCCAAATGAAGAAAACTGATGAGACAAGCGAGTCTGACAAAAGAAAGAAGCATTTTAAAATATGGGAAACATTTCTTCTCACAGACTCAGCTACTCACATAATCACACAGAAGATGAAGAAGCAAGTGAGCAGTTGTGCTGGGACACAGAACAATAAATCTCTAAGCCTTTGAGAGAGGATGAGAGAGAGAGAGAGAGAGAGAGAGAGAGAGAGAGAGAGAGAAGCAAACAAAGCTGAATCCATCAGAAAATGGGGAGAAATGTTCTACTTCGTAGTGTAGATGAGGACAACTTGAATAAGCAAAAGAACAAAATAGCCAAGTTGAGTAAACAGAATGAGAAAATAATTCAGAATGCTAAGTCATTTATGTGTATGCTCAATTGTATACAGGTAAGAAAAATCCAGGGTGCAAAGCTCAGTTTTAGGGTACAGAGTACAGTCTTGCTGTATTGTGCCAGAGAATGCGCCACTAAACTAAACTAGCACTCAAAGCAACACAGACACAAAGCGTTCTGACAAACTAGGCTCTTTATGTGCAAAAGAGCAAACAGAAAATACCTAGGAGTATCCTTATCAAGAAAGAGCCTGCAAAAACACAGAAAAGGCTTTGTTAGTGCAGCAGTAAAATCAACAACAAAAATCAAAAGAGAAGCAAAAAAGAAAACACACACATAGATAAAAGATGAATATAAATTTGCCTATGAGCACAGTGATCTCAAATAGACTGGTACTCACAAGAACCTAGGGACACAATGTGGCACAGGGTATACAGTGACACCACCACTCTCCTGTGACTGTCAGTGAAGGAAAACGGGCACAGAGGAGCTGTAGAGAGCACAGCTGTCAGCAACACTTCAGTGGGGGCCAGGTATTAGGAATGGTACTGAGAAAAACCACGTTAGTTAACTGCAGGACTAGAAAGAAGAGGAACAATGGTCCTCAACAGCGTCCTCCAACATCAGTGTATCAGAAAGGCACTGTAGGACACATGCACCACACACCAGACTTCTGTGGTCTAATGGAACCCATGGAACCTTCCACAGAACAGATGCTGTCTTGGCCGAACTCATTTTGCAACTCATTAACTTGCATTAACTTGTGTCCTCCACTTCGTAGACCCAGGCCGCATACTCTACGCCACAGACAGGTCTCCTGCATGCAGACAGCCACGCCCAAGGTGCTGCGTGCTTGTCAGGTCTTAGCAGTACACGGATGGCCCAACCTCACCACCTGTGCTTATTATCCGGATCACCTAATACGACTAAACATTAAGAAACCAATGAAAAGCCACCTTGGTGGCACACATCTCTGATCCCAGCACTTGGGAGGCTGAGGTAGGAAAATTACCATGAGTTCCTCAACCTCCGGACTACTGGGATTACAGGCAGGTACCAATATACTTGGCTGTTACTCCGGACTTTAACCTATTTTTTTCTCCCTGCAGTGCTGGGAATTAAACACTGAGAGCACTGAGCTATGTCCTAATCCTTTTTATTTTGAGATAGGGTCTTGCTAAGTTGCCCAGGCTGGTCTTGAACTCTCTCAACCTTTCAAGGTGTTGGATCACTACATTCTTTTGTTACCTCTAAGCTGCTATTTTACAAGAGAAGCTGCTTCTACAAAGTTCCTCTAGCCTCCTACTGCATCTGACCTGCTGTTGCACAAGAGTCTGAAGATTTTTCCAGGTTACTCTGATGCAGGGAAACTGACCACGCCCGCGTTTCAGCCGAATGCCATCTTCCCTACGTGTTCTGTGAAGTGCCGCAGGGAAATTTTAGATGCTTGTCACAGCTGCAAAGCCAGTCTGGGGTGGTGGTGAACACCAGCTGAGCACCGGCTGTGTACGTCTGGTGAAAGGGAGCAAGTGGCTGCTGGCATCAGGGAAACGGTATTTACTGTCATGGCTCTGCTCAAGGAGGGCAGCACAACCCTCTTTATCTGCCTTCCCTCTGCAGCACACAGCCTGACACTCCTTTCCTCTTTCCTCAGGCCCTGCCAGCGACTCTTACATGCAGAAAAGCAACCTGAAGTGTGTTTTTCTGTTTCCTATACAACACTAAAATACAGGAAAGAAATGAATCCTGGCCCCATGTTTTCATTCTGTGTCTGCCTGCAGCCTTATTTCCCAACACCGACATGAGTACTCTTCTCAGGAGCAGACAGGACACAGGGGTCCCGTGAAGGGCAGGCATGAGTGTCTTGGTCCCTCAGACAGCTCCTGCTCCCCCGAGAAACCAGTGACTGGGGCCCTTCTTGGGGAGGCAGAGGACCAAGTGGCCCGAGTCCCTGGCTACAGGGAAAGCAGGATGGCTGGCACTTCATGAATGTCTGCCATTCCATGTGAGAGAGGGACTTTTTTTTTTGGTACCAGGAATTTGAGAAGGATTTTTTTTTTTTGGCGGAGGGAGCTACTTCAGGCTACCTTAAGGACAGGTCTGCTGCAGCTTCTGGAGTTGGGAATTGAACTGTGGTCCCATGTGTCTGACTGCATTTGCTGAAGCAGCCCTTTAAATAACTGAGCTATCCGGTAAGGCCCAGTACCAGGGACTGAACTCAGGACCTTACACTTGCAAGGCAGGTGCTGAAGCCACTGAACTATCTCCCTGGCCTGAGAGAGGGAATTTTAAGAAAAGCTAGTTCAACTTGCCCACAGCAGGGTTGTAATTCTGGTCTCATCTGATGTTAAATAGCTAGCCACCAGTGGTTCAGTTGGGAACATGTTGGAGTCGAAATTAAAATCTTATTTAGGGCAGCCAGTCTCCACCATGAGAGTTTCTATTAGTCTATCAACGTGAAGCGTAAGCAAGGATGAGAAGCAAACACTGACTGAGTCTGTTCCACAGTGACAAAGGCCAACAACGAGAGAGGCTTCACGGTCCCTTCAAGGGTCTTCTCCACGCCACTTAGTGGTGAAAAAGCTTCCTCAACAGCAGCCACTTCGCCTTAGCATAATCGTCCTTTAAACCCCGGGCAATGCACTCAACTCTGGTTTCTCTCTCTTACTGAGTTCCATCTTCTCAGACGCCACACAGACACAGCGGTCCATGCGCTCAGGGTAACTGAGCACATGAGCACCTCCAGTCACTGTTTACCTTCCTTTTTTTTTTTTAATTTTTATTTATTTATGTGTGTGTGTGTGGGTGGGTGGGTGGCCAGCTCAGCCCACCAGGGGGCGGGGCTGGCTGGCATGTGGTGCTGGGGGATTGAACCGCGGTCCCTGTGCTTTGCTAAGCTTATTCTAAGTTGGTGCTTTAGACCACTGAGCCATCTCACCAGCCCCTTACCTTCCTTTTGGAGAGCAAGAGGGCAAGGGAGGGAACAGGAATTTTCCAAGTGAGAAGAGTAATAATTTCTTTTTGTTTTTTAGAAATTTATTTATTTATTTATTTTTAAAGTTTATTTATTTATTGTGTGTGTGTGTGTGTGTGTGTGTGTGTGTGTGTGTGTGGTGTTGGGGGATAGAACCGCAGTCCCTGTGCTTTGCCAAGCTTGTTCCAAGTAGGTGCTTTAGACCACTGAGCCATCTCACCAGCCCCAAGAGAAGAGTAATAATTTCTGCATCTGCACAGCAATCACTAGCAATCCAGGGACCTGACATGGTGCCCGCGCCTTGGGACCCACCTGCTGGAGCTGTGCGAAGCCCTCAGGTACTTGGCAGAGACGATGTTTAGGGAGAGGATGGCGTCGATCGCAGCTTCATCCACCTCAGGCTTATTTCTAATGCGGCCTGCAGAAAAGAGCAAAGACACCGTGCAGGGGGCATACTGAAGCAAGGTTAACTCATGGAGGTTAACAGTGACATTCCAATCTCTAAACGCAGGTGCTGCAGGGCAGCTGGCTGCCCACAGGATCCTGCTCGTTTCCACACAGCGGGCCCCTCCCCGCCTGGCCTGTGTCCTGAGATCCGTTCTCATAGGACTGCCACCCACTCTCAGAGGCCCCTTCCTGTGGTCTGTAACCCAGCAGCTGCCAATGCAGGCTCCTTGCTGTTGTGGCCCCCTGCCCCACCCTATCTCCTCCTCATCCTGCATAAACCTCCTCAGCGCTGGGTTAGCACCACCCTCTCACTCAGATTGCTACCGCTCTGCCTCTGAATGAACTCAGAGGGGCGCAGCACTGCAGGGAAGCTCAGAGCACCTCCAGAGCCAGACTGTGCGTGTGCTCAGGCAAAGGTCTGTCCCTGTCAGCCTCCTCCTCGGAGCCTTGGTTCCAACAGTTACGTGACTGTCATGGGCAAAACCATGGAGCCTTGCCTGAGTGTCCATCTGGCCCCTGGAGACACACAGTCCTATGGACAGAACTCAAGGTGTCCACTGGCTTGGATGGAGGGAAGATTGTCTTCTTGAGACACGGTCTTGCTATGCAGTTCAGGCTGGCCTTGAGCTCACTCTTGTAGCTGAGGCTGGTTTTGAACTTGCAATGATCCTTTTGCCTCAGCTTTCTGAGTGCTGGGATTACAGGTGTGTTTCACCATGCCTGGCTTTTTTTTTTTTTTTTTTGGAGACAGGGTCTTGCTATGCAATTTAGGCTGGCCTTGAGCTTACTATGTAATCCAGGCTGGCCTCAACCTCTCAGGAATCTTCCTGCTTCAACCTCCCAGGAAAAAGATCATAACTTTAACTGAAATTTGGCATTTCCTAGCATCAGTGACTCTATCCTCTTTGGAAACCACAGATGTTTCCCTATCAAACTAATCTATTTTTGCCATTCATCACCACAGTGAAATGAGACAAACTGGATCTACAGCTACATCCTGTTATTTAACATAATAATAGAGAAGAGCTCATATTATAAATCTGCTTAATTCTTTTTAGCTTGTATTGTATTCATTAGTTCCTGTTCTAATTCTGAATACTTTATTGTCCTCAGTTAATAACAATTCTGATCCAGGTATGGGGACACACACTTGTAATGCCAGCACTTGGGAGGCTGAGGCAGGAGGATCACCATAAGTTTAAGGTCTGCCTGAACTGCATAGTGAGAGCCTACAAACACATAAAGCCTAATTCTGAGGCTTTTCTACAGCTATTGCATGCCTCACGCTGGGTCTACACACGCACTGGGGCCTATGGCTTGCGCTGGGGCAGCTGGGCCTCTTCCTCACTCTGCTGCTTGCATGTCAGGTACGTTTGTGTGTTTCTATCTGAAAATCAACTTAACAAAACATTCTCAGTTCTCTTGTGCCATTCAGAGCCTCCCCGTCCAAGTTAATCCAGCCTTCCCAGATGGCTTTTGGCTGTAATTCTCTAAGCACAGGTCTTCCCTTATGCTCACTTTGGTACTCATCCAACTGTTTTGTACATGTCTACCGTCCTCTAAGTAACTGCAAGCTCATGGCTCATAAGAGACTTGTTTTTTATGTACTTAGTACTGGGTCTACAGGGTCTCACTACACACATCAGACTTGTAGTGATCCTCCTGCTTTCAGCCTCCCAAGTACTGGGATTACAGGCTCACACCACCACTCCCAATCTCAACTGTCATCTTGGCGCTGTGCTCTGCCTAAGCAGGCGCTTTAGTCCGCGCTAAGTTATCTGGCAGGCCAGAGACTTGTTTTATCCTCTTTCCTCCTAAGCAAATAACCACACCCACTGTAATTAGGTAAAACAGTTAACCTATTGCTCACTGGAGACAAGCTGAGAAGTTTTAACCTTGTGTATGCTGTGTGTGTATGTGAGAAAGACAGAGAAAGGGGGGGAGGGGGAGGGGGAAGGGTAGGAGAGAGACAGACAGACAGACAGACATGGGGTCTGGTTCTGGGGCACACCAGGCAAGTGCTCTGCTACTGAGGTGCATACTGGGCCCTGTGATGGCCGCTAAACTCAAGGCCTTGGCTGCCCCACAGGCTGTATTCTCCAGCGTAGTCTTCCACACTCCCTGGCTCCGACCAGGGCACAGGAAACTTCTAAGAGCCAGGGTCTGCCCTTAGCTGCGGGAGCGCACTCACCGACCACCAGCTCCCGGACATCTTTCCAGTGAAGCTCACTCCCCTTCTCGTGGATGATGGTCACTGTGATCCGCCGCTGGATGCCCTGGGTGAGAGAATGGCATTTCGTCTCAGCTGGGGTGATCTATCACTTCTCCTGCTTGTTGCTTTCTGGATTGTACCATGGGGTGGGCAGGAAGGAGAGGCTTGGAGGGAGGGGAAGGCCATCCACCCAGGGGTCTGGTCAGGGTGTGTGCGACAGTACAGTTCTGATCTGGTCTGAAGAGTGACGCCCTGATTTTATGTGAGCATGGAACTTCAAGTACCATCTCGCCTGGCTCAGATGCAGTTCTGAGCACCCAGTGCATTTGTTTTTGATTTACCAAAGGGGACTATGCATTTCAAAATTAGACTTTTTTAGTTCTTTCAAACCCTCATCCTCTACAACCCTGTTAAGAACTTCTGGCTGTGAAGAACTTTCAAATATCATGAAGAGCATAAGAAAGTGATACAGGAGCTGCACAGATGACAGTGATTGAACGAAATAAATTCTTTTTTCAAAATAGCTATTCTAAAATATAAGGATACATATAAGCCAAGGCCTGAGGAAAAAGCTTTTAAAAACAAAGGTGTATAAGCCCTGGGTTCAATCCCCAGTACAGGATAAACAGTCAACCTGCCCTCCCCAGTTCCCTCCTACCTTTGAAATACAGAAGAAAAAGAAAGAGCTCTGTTCCCTATTCTAAACTCTTTAGCGATTCTTCCTAGGTCTTGTCTTGCTCCTGCTTTAGTACCTGGTGAAGTAAAAATGTCCCCTGGCAGGGCAGGCCTGCAGTATGGTCAACCACAGCCGGGATGTACCTGAGACAAAAACAAGAAAGACAGAAGTTAGTGCAGCTATCTCTGCAAGGCGCTCCCTGTGCCTGCAGCCCTTTCTTTCTCTGATCCAACAGCCCTCTTCTGGGCTGCATCTACTCATCCATTCTCACCATCCTACATGCTCAAAGCATATGAGTGTCATTTGTTTCTACCTCTGCCCCTTGCCTAAGAATTCAGTAAGTAATATATGAGTGCAATAGCAACTGACAGGAAACACGCCTCTCCCTCATAATGCAAGTCATAATCACATGTAGATCTGTCTATGAAAGCCAAACTCCTCAAAGTGATGTTACTCCGCAGACAGAACTGATGTTCCTACACATGGTAAGGACTTCATACATGCTTCCTGGTGATACAAACAATGGTGGTTCTCAGCATTTACACACAGAGGAACATTCAGGAACCTTTTTTGTCTGTCTGATTTTTTGAGGCAGGGTCTTGCTGTCTCACTATGTAGCCAACCTGGCCTTAACTTACAGCGATCCCCCTGCTTCAGCCTCTGGAGAGCTGAGTGCCACCATGCCCAGCACTTTCAGTAATATTTATCCTCTGTCCTTTAGATATAGTCCCTTACCTCTGTTTCAGGGAGAGGATCTCTTTTGTATTCTAACAAAAGCCTTTATTTATTTATTTATTTATTTATTTATTTTTTGTTACACGGCGCTATAAAGTCACTGCGCTCTCCAGGCCGGGATGGAATTCCTGATCCTGCCGCACCTGTTCAGAGTCCTGGGACTGCAGGCAGGCTCCACCTCAACATTTTATGCTGCTTTTTTTCTTTTTCTTTTCTTTTTTTTTTTTTTTAACAAAAGCCTTTAGAGAGAACTAGAAGCAACAATTATATTCATCTTGTATTCTAATATAGCTCAGAGGGACAAGTAAGCTGATGCTGATCCTACTGATCTAAACAGAAATTCCCAACAGTAGCCAAAATCAGAGGAGCGACTTTGACCCCAAGGGTTCTATGGCAATGTCTAGAGATACTTTTTGGTTGTTACAACTTCAGGGAAGAAGGTACTGGCATTTTGTAGACAGAGGCCAGGGATACTGCAAAATATCCCACAACACATGGGACAGCTGCCCACAGTGGAGAATAATTCAGCTCCAAATAGTCCCACCATAGAGGAAGCATGGTTTGGGGCAACATTATGCCATAGCTCCCCTCACTGACCATATTTGGGACTGCCTGCTCCTGCTGCTCTGCTTGTGATAAAGCCATGACGTAGTGCTCTGTCCTCAGAACCAAGTGCAGCCTCCACCCCCTTGCTGTTGCTAACAAAAAGGCAAAATATTGTACTGCATACTCAGTCTTCTGGCAAACATCTGATCAAAAAAACATACTATGATCACAAAAATTCTATTCAAAATAGAATGCTGACACAACGATTCATGAACCTACACAGAGGACACTCAAAACTATATTTCCTAATCTTGAAATATTTTATTTTCAAGTTCAGAAAGTTGGACTTACTCTCCTGTTGGCTCCAGTTCACTGATCTCAAACCAAACCAAGAGGTCATACTTGCTCATGCTCTGGCCGAGGCTGGTTTTGCTCATGGTGTTTAACTTGGTGGCTGGAACTTGCAAAAGATTTTAGAAAATGTCAAAATGTGTCCATCCTCCCTTACCAAAGCATATTACTTCTTTAAGGTCAGTCTTCAAGGACATACTTAGGAAAGGCAGCAGGAGCCCCAAAGCAGTGTCAGCATCAACTATACTAGTGCCTCCAATTCAGAGAATAAGGGAGACGGTTGGTCACTACTTTGCCTTTTCAAAAGAATGTCTCCTTGGGGCTGGGGAAGTGGCTCAGTAGAATAAGCGCTTCCCTGGCAAGCACGAGGGCCTGAGTTCAATCCCCAGTTCCACAAAAAAAAAAAAAAAAAAAAAAAAGACTGTCTCCAAAGATGAGAAACAGGTTTTGTACAAATAAAAATGTGCTATAAACAGCTGGGTGTGGTGGCATATGCCTGTAATCCCAGAACTCTGGACGCTGAGGCAGGAGTTTTGTAGTTTTTGCAGTTTTGCTGCAAGTTCAAGGCCCACCTGGGCTACAAAGTGAGCTCAAGGCCAGCCTGAACTGCATAGTGAGACCTGTCTCAAAAAGACATGCATACATACATGTATGTCTCGTAAGACCATTACAAACCCTGGCAGTCCAGAGTCTCCCATTTTGCGGCCTGTCATCACCCACGAGCTGTGTAGGAGACATAGTGCCTGGAAAGCACCGGGGGACAGCCTTGCATATCCTAGGGTTCACAGGAACTTGTGAGGCAGAGGACAAAGCCAGCTCCAGTCCGGAGCTCCCAACTTCCCTCTGCCTAAAGTTACCTGGTATTTTATTTATTTTTGTGGTACTGGAGATTGAACCCAGGAGCTTGCATACACTCAGCAAGCCTGAGCTACATGGTCACCTGGGATCTTAAAGATGTCAAGGCCCAGATAATCAAATCATAGTCTCTGGCTTGGGACATAGTCATTCCTTCTAGGCCTGTATTTCTCCGGTGATTCCACCATGCAGACAACTCTAGGGACCACTGGTTTAATCTATAAATGCAGGAACCTATAAATGAGCTTCTATTACATTTTCTTTAGATTTAAATCCCCCTTCCTGACAGTACTGATGCTCTACAACTTTAGTTATGATGCCTTCCCTCTGTTGGTCTGTCTCCTAAACATATAAAATGCAGATCATAATGGATAGGCTGCAAACTTGAGGAGACATCATGAAGGCCACAATGTAGCACACCTCAGGCTTTCTGAACCATGCAGCCCTGTTCAAGCAGGCCGCCTATCAGCTGCACTCACTCTAGCTGGATTTCACATGCCCTGGTGACACTTTAGGAAGAGCATGGAGTCCCTAATGCTGGCAGCCAGCTAAGAGGCAGTGAGATTTTTTTTTTTTTTTTTGTGGCCTGAAAATGCCTTGAGGGCATTTCCCTCTGCTTTCTTGTGAGAAACTGGGTTGGAACCAGAGCATCTTGAGCCTGACTACAGTTTTTTTTTTTTTTTTTTTTTTGTAGAACTGGGAATTGAACTCAGGCACTTGCGCTTGCCAGGGAAGCACTTATTCCACTGAGCCATCTCCCCAGCCCAAGGGACAGTGAACAGAACCTCAAGTAGCAGCAGAACCAGGGCTGGGGTTGTAGCTCAGTACGGAAGCACCTGCCTGGTGTGCACAAGGCCTTGGATTGGATCCCCAGCACCACAGAAAAGACCAAAGCCAACACCCAGGCCCAAACCAAACAAAAAACCAATGTTACTAAAAATTTTCAAAATTAAAAACACTACTGCAGGGGGCCTGCCCCGTAGCTCAGTTCTTTAAGTGGCTGCTTAAACAAAGCAGTCAGGCTCAGGTTGCTTTGGTTCGATCCCCACAACACAAGACAGCCAGTCATGCCTTGAAGGCATTCAGAGGCACAGGTGGGGGCTTCCTGAAGCCTTTCTGGAGGAAATGTGGCACAATTGAGACCGCATGCTGAACTCTATGTTTAGCTTGAGCAGATGGAAACATCAGTGTTTCATTCCCGGTGAGCCAGGCTTGGGGGCCAGCCCCAGAGGTTGGTTCTACATCTAGGGCAGAGCTAAGGCAGCTACTAACCATCTCGTTTGGGTACCCTCTCGCTCTGGCAGCTGGGCACTGGCAGAAAGAGAAAGGGCGGCACTGGGTCAGCCTCCTTCTGGAAGGTGCCAACAGCGGAGGATGCAAGCACGCTGGCGTGCTCAGAAAACACGTCCAGCACATGCACATTCACATAGCCAGACACGAGAAACCGAATCAGTGCAATCTTTCGTTCATGGTCTGAAGGCCGGTGGAGATGGAGCCGAGAAGCACAGAGGGTGCAGAGTGAACGCAGGTGGGGAAAAGTGTGGCAAGGGGGCAGGAAGGACAAAGGATGAAAATAAAGAAAAATCAAAACAAGATCAAGGAGGAGAAGCAAGTGCAAGTTATAGTATTCTAAAAAGTAACTAGAATTAAAACTGTATACTTCAAAACAGCTAGAGAGAGCACTTTGAATGTTTGGGGTTTTTTTTTTGGCAGAACCAGGGATTGAACTCAAGCCCTTGAGCTTGCCAGGCAAATGCTTATTCTACTGAGCTAACTCCCTGGCCCCACTTTGAATGTTCTCATTACAAAGAAATGATAACTGCTGAAGGTATGGGATATGCTAATTACAGTGCTATACACAGGGTATACATGTACTAAGACACGTACAGTTATTATTGTCAGCTTGCTCTAAGGAAAACAAAATAACAATAAAAACATGATTGAACATGCAGAATATATTTAACATGCAAAGAAATGCTCAGTCAGATCATGAGGTAGAGTTAAACACAAAGCAAGGAGATTTAGGAAAAGGGAGATTATGAACGTCTGCGATAAGAAGACCTGAGAACCAACAGAGACAGAGCCCTATTATTTCTTACCTTACATCAGGAACCAAGAATTCTAGTTCCTGCTAGATGCATTCAAGAGAAGCAGGAATACATAAGGGTACACGGAAGAGAATTCCAGTGTGATTTTTCTCTGGACATCACTCAGAACAAGGATGTGCTGACACAGAGAACATCAGGCAGAGTAGATGTGGGGCTCACCTGGCTTGGAGAGTGGCATGGGCGGAGGGAAGAATCGGCGAGAAGGCTGAGGCGGACTACAAGGAAGGGAAGAAAAATTTCTTCAGGACTTAAGAGCTGTATGTGGACATTAATGCCATGTTTCAACTCTGGCACAGCATTACCTATCAGATATAATTCCACATGTCCCACGTAGTAATACAGGCTAACACATCTCAATTAAAGCATCCCCTGTAAATCGCAGCTAATACAGAAATAAGAAAATGCTGACATGGCACCACCCAGAAGCCCCCGGTTTACTCTCATCTGAAAACTCCACTTAGAGCTTCCGATTCACCAAACTGAGGGTTTAGGAATAACTATACACACTTCATGGTATATTCCCATTAGAACTTCCTAGCCTATTCAAACCCTCTTTGTACAAAACAAGTGGCATTTAAGCTCACGTAGGCAAAATTCAACTTGTTCTGTCTAAAATAGTAATTATGGAGCTAGAAAAAGGTAGTAAAGTTTCTCAAGAGGAAACAGAAGGTAATACATAAACTGCTACTTAGTTATCTTAATCCCACTAAAGATTTTTTCCTTTCCAGCAAGTAAGAAACTAAAAAAATCAAACAGTCACAAGTCTTTGCGTATCTGGTTCAAACCTGCTAAGCTCCTGTCCTTGCAGATGAAGTGGGTGCTGCTGATAATGCCCAAAGACTTCAAATACAATAGGCTTGGTTTTGATATAGTCCACAAATGACTCTGTGACCTCTACCGCAATCTAGTAAAGAATAAAACCAGACAAAGTTAGAGAAGGATCTGTTACACAAAAGAACAAATTCTTGCTTTAAGCACAACTTCAGCACTATTAGGTGTCCAGGATGTCCCCAAAGCTCACTTGCACAGGTCTCTTGCACCGAAAGACAGCCCCCCTCCTAAGGAGCCCCCCCAGCTCCCGGCACTAAGCGGCCCCATCGTCCGCCCCAGAGGAGCTCACCGTTGCCCTTCACACCCTGCTGCTGCAGCTCACACTCACCTGTTGCTGCTCCTCCTCCTGCTCTCTCCTCTTCAGCATCCTTCCAGGAAGGCCCTCCCTGTACCCCACACCTAAGTCATTGCTCAATTTTAAGGGCAGCAAGAAGGCGCATGATAACTGTGCAGTGCCGTCCAGGCTTCGGGCCAACTCTGACACAGCCTTTCTCATAGATAACCACCCTCCAGAGGGCTCTCTACTCCTTCTGTCTGGCTTCCCCATCCAACAAAAGGGTAACTTAATATATCTCTGCACATGGAAATAACTTCCCCTTTCTCTAATCCCAGTGCATTTAGTGGATCCTTACTCCAAGTCCCTCCACATAAATAACTGCATTTTCCTCCCAGGCATAATGCAGAGCTCCCTGAGGCATCTGTGACCCATCTACACTCCCCAGAAGGGTCAGGCACAGTGCTTGTGCGCAGCAGCTGGGCAGGATTTATCTCACACACGTGGACTCACGCTGGACAACCACAAAAAGATGGAGGAGGGATCTAGGGCTGGACTGCTCTCTTAGGAGCTGTCCTCCCTCTGTTTACAGAGTGGGCATGCTTTACCAACTGGTTGAGAGTGTTTCATACAGTAGAGTGAAGATCTGGATGCTAGAGCCACATCTCTCTGCGATCTTCCCAGCTTTGTAAGCTTGGCGAGGGACTTTAACTAGTTGGTGCCTCAGTTACCTCAGCGGTAACATAGGGACCAGGAAGATTTTTTTATAATTATTTTTTAGTTTGTATTTTTTTTTTTTTTAATGTATTTAGTACAGGGCCTACAGGGTCTCACTACATGGATTGGCCTCATAGTGATTCTCCTGTTTTTAGTCTCCCAAGCGCTGGGATTACAGGCATGTGCCACCATGCCCAGTCTCTAAATCGCTATCTCAGCAAGCCCTTGGGGGTGGGGCCAGCACAGCAGGTTTTTTTTTTTTTTTTTTTTTTTGCAGAACCGGGGATTGAACTCAGGCCCTTGCGCTTCCCAGGGAAACGCTTACTCCACTGAGCCATCTCCCTAGCCCCAACTGTGAAGATGAAATGGCACAGAAAATACTCAGAACAGGGATGGCCATCAAATCCACTCTCCAGGTGGGCAGGCTGCTGTGATGAGGATGGCTTGTGAAGAGCTTGTGTGCAACTGAGGTGGGAAGTCTGCTTCCTGCCCCTTGAGGAAAGAAGGCTGTAAGGGGCATTTGTGGTTAATCACAGCATCAGCTACATTGGGAACAGACTGCATCTTCCTTTAGTTACAGATGGGTTTTAATTATCTTCTACAATTTAGAGGGCAATGCATTAACTTTAACAAAAATGGCATTAAACACGCTTGTTTTTCTAGGACAGAAGCGTGGAAACAACTCCCTACATTCAGACTGATGGAAGAGTTCATGGCTGGGCTAGCTTGCTGGCTCTCACTGAGCCCATTGTGATGCTACCGAGAGGCTGGTGGCTCTGTCCCTGAGGCTGACCTCACTGCTCTGGCCACTCCCTCTATTGTTCATTCTCTCCACCTCCCCTCCCCCCAGTGTGTTACCCAACATGCTTTCTGAGCAGATACGGCCAAGGCACCACAAACCTGAGATGTGTTTGGCAAAGGGGTTCAGGTCACTTACGTTCTGCACATGGTAAAAGCCCAGGGGACTTCCTCTGCCATTGTTTTTGAGGGGTTCAGTGGAGAATGCTTCATCATGACGATGCAAGAAGCTTAATAAAAAGATAAGAGAGGCAAATGTTGCATGAAGTAATTTCCTCAGGAGCTCTGCCTTAAGAATCCAAGTTGGATCAACAGTGACACAAGGGCTGGCCAGATAGCTCAGCGGATTAAAGCACCTGCTTTAGACAGACGCATGAGTCAGAGGTTTGATCCCTGGCCTGCCGGGCCTGAGACGGCCGGTGTACGTGGTGGCACGCACCTGTAATCCCAACACTTGGAAAGATGAAAACAGGAGAATCACTACAAATCCAATCTGTGTAATGAGACCCTGTAGAACTTGCACTAAATACAAATAAACAGTGAGAAGCCTCCTACTTAGGCAGATTCTTGACTGAGCAGTGATTTGCACTTCTTCTCAGAAACCTTTGCCCTATCATATAGACAGCATTTTAAATTTCACTTCAAAATGACAAAAATAACTGACCCCAATCACTCAGCTCTGTGGATGTATATGCAAGAAGGCTTCAAGTGAAGAAGTAATTCCAACAAACTCCTGTTCTTTTGTGTAAGTATTCTAAAGAAAAATATTTTTTTTTTTTTTTTTTTCCTTTTTGAGACGAGGTTTCACTGTGCAGTTCAGGCAGGCCTCAACCCACTCTGTAGCTCAGACTGGTCTTGAATTTGTAGCAATACTCCTGTATCACTTTTCCAAGTGCTGGGATTACAGGCATGCACCACCACACCTGGTCTAATGAAATCATTCTGTGCAGAAAAAAATCTTAGACTCTTCTGGTAGGTAAGTTCAACAGCCTATATATGGTGCACGGGCCTAACATCCGGCCACCAGTGGATTACAGTGTCTCCTCTTCCAGAACACTGGCCCGCTCCTACCCACTGTGACAATACACAGAACTATGCCTGTCTCCCTCTGATTCATCAGGACTCCTTGAGCTGTGCCAGAGGGTGTGCCTAGCACGCATGAGGGTTTGGTTCAACCCTCAGCACCAAAAAAAATAGCACAGCATAGCACAGCACAACACAGGACAGCACATCATAAAGTAAAATACTTCTGACACAGTACAGAAAGAAAAATGGGAGGAGAGGATGGGAAACTGAATCTCAAAGGCAGAGAGCCCTGTCATATGGGCCCCTCATCTCCAAAATGAGCACACTGAGCCCAAGAGCAGCCCGCTGCAGGGCAGAGGTCTAGCTGCTGCTGCTGGGTGTGGCTGGCACTGCCAAGTCCTGTGCTGAGAACACCCCTCACATCTCTCCCTCTTCTCCTGTTCCTTTCTTTGTCCCATATCTTCTGTCTCCTAACTACATACCATCTCTGCCAGACACCATGGGCATCAGTGGGCCTGATCCGCCACTGTCAGAGGCACAGAGCCTGTGGTCCCTGCAGAGTCAGGTCCTCTGGGGTGTGGCTACATGGGAGTCTCTTCCATGTCTGGGCTAGCCAGAAGTACAGGAAGCCCCAGTCATCTCCCCCCTGGATCACAGGTTCTTGCCTCCACGGTGAACACTTTTTCAGGGCATGAAGACAAAGGTTGACACTGCTAATGTCATTCTAGACATCAGTGATCCAAACAGATGTTAGCTGTCTTTCCTAAAATGTATCACTTGCCTGATGAAAATAATTCCCCAAAACCCGCTCATCTAGCCATGTCAGTCTTACCTAAAAGTGAAATCAAGACTGGATGGCTAATATGTCATGAGTTATGACACATTAAAATGTAACATCATGAGTTCCAGCAAAGGATATTAGTGTTTTACTATGCAGTAATCACTCAGCATGAGACCCAGCGAGGCCCTATGTAAAAGCAATGCTTCAGCAACTGCATAGGACCCTAAGGAGGCAATGCCCACATGGAAGGAGGGGGACAGCAGCTGTGGTGGCATCACTGGGGACAGGGAGGGCTCCAAGAGTTGCTGGACTTCATTCTCTGGTTCTGCAGCCACAACAGAAGATATACTGGTGTGTGGAGGTACAGAAACTTAAGTATAGGAAGTGATTTTCTAGGGAATGCCTGGGAAAGAAGCACTAGAGGACAGGGCTTCAGGGAGCCCTGGGGTTGAAAAGGCTCCCAGGAAGATGAGCAATGAAACCACCACATCGTCTCTACACACTAGCTTTTCTTAATTGCTGCAGATATTTATTCTTCTCGCCATTATTTAAATTCTCCTTTTCCCAAGTATTAAGTAGGTAAAACTGGCATAGTTAACTACTTTTACCTGTGTTTCCCAAGCAGCTATTCAAGCATGAAGAGCACTAATAGCTGAGAAGGCCTATCTGAACCAACCTCACGTTCCCAGCCAGCCCTCCCCACAAGCAGCCCATGTTGTCCAAAACAACTTCTAGCCTGTACTCCTCTCTCTAGTGAAAACAGTAATTTCCTTCAGAGACTGGGAGACCCTCAGGAGCACTGCTCTGTCCTGTGAGCAGGGCGCTCAGCAGAGCACGAAGACAACTTACTTGAACTGACAGAAGATATCCGCATACTCTGGGAGGATCCCACTGGCCTGCAACACCGTTACTCGGAAGGTGAAGGCACTGCCCAGTTTTAGGTGGTTGCCAATCTCTTCGGAAAACCCTTCCATCACCATCTTACCATCCAGCAAAGTACCTGACTTCAGATCTAAAGACGGACAAGTGAGCACACTGTTCAAATGTTGCTGAGGGAAGGGACTTGGTTCTTCCTACTCCTCAGCAATGAAAGCCTCTGTGTCCCTTGACAGTGGTCAGTATCTCCCTCTCCAAAAGGGTCCCAACGGCAGTGAACTCTGTGTACCTACCCCGGTCATTCATTCGATTGATTTCCTCTGGAGGAGTGACGACCTCAGAACTCTGACCCTGCCCTTCTACAATCCTCAACTCCTCCAAGGACAGGCCACAACGAGTCATGGCAACTGAAGAAAAATCATTCTGAAAACAAGGCAAGGGAGACGTGTGTAAAGAAACATGAAAACATTTTCCATCAAGTGTGTGACTCACACCTGCAATTCCATCACTTGCAAGGCTGAGGCAGGAGAACCATAAGTTCAAGGCCAGTTTAGACTACACAATTAGACCCTACCTTAAACACAGTAGCAACCTCATTCCCCACACACACCAAAAAATAATTTTCTTATTGATATTTATTTGTCCAACAAATAATACTGACTGGAAAATTAAGCAGGGTAAGAGCTGTCTGAGAAGAGGCACTACAGTGATGGACCCATGTTGGGACTTTATGTTCACAGCTGTTTGACGAGTCCCATGTGCTACCAAGCAAGTCCAGTGCTCCCAGAAGCCTTTGTGTTTCCTAGGTCTGAACACAGGAGTAGGCCTCCCACACTGTAGTTTCCTCAGAGACCCATCTGCCACACTGGCTTTTGCCCAAGGTGTTCTTTCATCCCAAAGGCTGCTCACCTGATTAAAGTACTCATTGTCAAAAGATATCTTAGCCGTTCCTGACTGTCGAATTCCAGACCCATAATCCGGAGCTTCTTCATCCGCTGAGAAGAAAAACATCACCAAGGAATGAGACTACACATGGGGGTGACGGAAGATTTACTGGATTATAAAATATCAACAAAGTCCTTTAGCATAAGAATACTCAGTACTGAAGTATTCACTGGCTGCTTCCAGTGTGAGTTCATTGGTTTTCTCTGCTCCTTAGTTCATGTGAGACTGAGAAAAACTAGTTTTACTCTGGAGATTGCTCAGGTGCCACACCTAAAAAAAACCCCTTCCCCATCTTGGCAACATAGCATCCAATAATATACTATGAAGACTTGAAAATACGCTGTGCTTGTAGAGATGTCTGTACTCTCCACACTGCTGTGTGACAGCTTCCATGAGGGCAGGGCTGAGCGGAAAGGTCACCAAGCAGCA